CTTGTTAGGCAGTATCCATACTGTAAGACGGCGGTGTCTGGGTGTTTTAGTACGTGGTGCTTTTGATCAGATTTTTACAATGCGGACATTTACTCATATCAGGATGGGAAGTTTTAAAATGAGTTTTACACTCGCTGGCAGTACTGAAACTGTGAAAGCAATAACCGCAGCTCTTGCCTATTCCAGGAGTTAAATGTTTGGAGATTTGAACTGGTACAGTGGTAGTTTCTTGTTGCGGCTTGGTTTCTATAGTGTTTGGTGGATTTGTTGTAGTTGTTTCCAAAGTTGTTTTTGCCGATTTCGTTTTTCTTTCTTGCAGTGCGACCGGACTGTCTTCGTTCTTCCTTTTGGCTTATGTTTCTGTTTCCATAGCAGTCTGTGGTGGTTTGTCATTGGGATTAGAGGCGTTTGGCTGTTGTATGCTGGTGTTGACGGTTCTGTTGCTAAGTTTAAAGCTTGCGGTGTCAAGCGATGGAGCGCTTGCATTCCCTGTTGTGGCTTGCGTTGTTGCTTGTTCTGTTGGGTCTTCTTGCAGTGATATGTCTGAAGGCGTTTGTTGGCAATGGTTCGTCCAGTGGAGGGTGGAGGAACAGATTTGACACGCTTGTCTTCTCTCGGCGATTGCGATTAGGATAGTGAGTGATTTGTTTTTGTAGTTTATTTTGATGTAGAGTGGGATAGTTGTTGGATTATCAGCGTAGATAGAAAAACTGCGATTATTAGTGTGTGGGATTGTGTTTATGGTCATTTCATATTGTAGCAATTTTGCTACAAAGCGAAATAATTACAAATAAATTTACACTTATGATAAAATCCACTTTTTTATTTTCCCATTGCTGCTGGATCACTTTTGACCTAGATTTAAGCCTGAAACAGACTATAAGTGCGCTATATACGGCACGCTCCAGATTTGAATCAGTCAGTTTACTCTAGTTCAGAAAAAATAATTCATGAAATGAAGGGTCTGAGTAAATTTAAGTAATGCAACCATAAGTGGAACTAGGTTAATATAATTTTTTTACCTCCTCTCTCCCCCACACATGGATTAACATATAAGTTATTACGATAAGTTATTACGATACTCAACAAAACCGTTTACCTCAGGCATATTTTGCAACGTTGAGTTAATGTAACTCCCCCACCACTCACCCCCTCCCCAACGGCGATTGCTTTAAACTGTGTTCAGATATAATACTACCCATTTTTATCTATAGTCGGTTATAAATACAGCTTAATCTAGGATGTTTTCTCTATCATTATCAGGTTTATGTCATGGTGTCACCCACCCCTCCTTCCACCCTTGCCGGGATTTATCAAATTTGCTTTTAAAAGACTGTTTAACATTCTAATTAACCACTCTTTAATTGTTCACTGAATTGAAACAGGCGAGTCCGCCAGCGCCCCGACAGGGTTTGATTTGGCGCCCTCGGCTATCCTGTGAGCGCTATGCTCCATAATTTCGCATTAAACAGTGCGATAGACTATGGATAAGAAAGGTTACTATAGTCTTTAAGTGACTCAAATTCGTGCGTCCTCCGGCGCCCAGACATTGTGCTATTTGGGGCCCCGGGCCTTACGTTCGTTTAAGTGAGTGCAAATGACTATGAATAAGTTCGGGTACTAGAGTCGTTTACTAAGCTGAAACAGGCGGTTCCGAGGTCGCCCCAGAATGGTGACTTTTGGCACCTCGGGATAGACTGTGAGCAGTTTGCGTTTATGTTTTGTGTGGGTTTGTGTTTGTATTTGTGTTTGTGGTTGGGTTTGTGTTTTCGTTTGTGTTTGTGTTTTGGGTTTGTGTTTAAGTTTTTGTTATCGTTTGTGTTTATGTTATGTTTGCTTTTTTGTGTTTTGGTTTTGGTTGGTTAAGGTTAGGGTGTCCAATGCCGGGTATATGCTGATTAAAAAACACACATGCCATGGTCCTTTACCGATAGGTTTTTCACAGAGGCCAATGCAGGGCCTGGCCGAGACGGCTAGTAGATCTATATATGAAAATGGCTCACTCGAACAAAGCGACAGAAAGTGTAATTTTTTTTAGTAATTTAAGAGTCATGTTCGTTAACACCAAGGAAGCTAAAGCTTTGACCCTCTACACATCTGCGCTTAAATCATAATACGGTCAAATATATGTTACTAGTCTGAAATAAAGGGAAAACAAGTGACTTGAATAAAAAATTTTATTGGATCAAGAAAATCAACATACCAAAAGAAATATTAAAATAAAACAATTTAAAAAATCGACAATAAAACGTAAGTGTAGTGTTAATACAATCATAATAAATGACAATTTTTGGAATACCAATAATATAGTTTCTTTCGTTACAGATGGGTTGTTTTCAAGTTAAGAAAAAATATAATACATTTCTAAACTTTTGAGAACAATTATTATGTTTTAATGAAGAAGCTAACAAACAAGGTCCGTGAAATCTTTTGAAAATATAGCGTCACACTCGAAAGTGTAATAGGTAATTATTGCAGAAAAAAAGGTCAATTATAAAATACGATTTAAAAAAATGCATAGTGTAAAACTTAATGTAATTTAAAAGAACAAACAGTTGTAAAATATGTTGTATAACATTTCATTCATTTTTTCAGAAAGTGTACCCAACAGAGCTAGTGATGAGTGTAGCCAAGAAATAAAGGATAAAACCAATTATTTTACTTTTAGAAATTAATTTTAAATAAACCGGGAGTGATCTCCCCTAAACTTTCTCGAATATTTTTATATAAAACAACAGGGATAGGAACTCGGGCTATAGACTTGATTTTTAATTCATTTTAAATAGGCTACTTAAAGTTTTTTTTAAATAGAATTAAAATTTCGTAGAAAAAAGAATTGCACACCAAGTGAACGTCAAATAAAATGCGCATAACAGTGCGCAATATAATTAGTACTTTATAAAATTTACATTAGCTTTTTGAGAAATCGGAAAAAAGCGTAAATTAGTACTTCGGGTCAAACGGAAATTATTCAAAATTTGATTGAAGGTAGAGAATAAGATCTTTTACTTACATATGAAATTTCACTTATTTGTCTGAAATAGCGCTTAAGTTATAGGCTTTTGAAAAATTCAAAGTAGAAAAAGTACCACTTCCGGTTGTTGGAAATCTCTCAAAAAGTTGATACGGATCTACGATTTTGATAAATACTTATATATGAAATTTCATCAACCTAGCTGTCACGGTACTCAAGTTATCGTGTTTACACACGGACAGACAGACAGACAGACAGACGGACGGACGGACGGACGGACACAGACACAGACACAGACACACACACACACACAAACACACACACAAACAAACAGACATAGGCATACGGACAAGATTAAAAATTATGTTTTTCCGACTCAGGGAGGTGTAAGACGTCGAGATTTGAAAAAATCTCGATTTTTTTTTGCACGATTACAAGACTTCATATATACGAGAAAGTAAAAATTTAGTTGAATTTTAGTCAAAACGTGCAATCAACTACGTTTATTTCAATGAAAGAACAGAGAAATAAAAAAACCTCGACCAATACACAAACTGGAAAAAATGGAAAAGTGTTTTTAAAAACAGAAACCGTAGAAATACAACCTATCGAAAAAACTAAAAGTACAAGTTGTATCCAATCACCCAAAACTTATGTAGAAATATATATTGAAAACATCACACTCAAGCAATAAACCATAGTGTCTCGATCTACACTGTGATTGAATTCTCCTATCAGCCATAAGAGACTTAATATACACCAAATAACAAATATTGGCTACGATCTAAGAGAACTAAAGAAAGATAAAATATCAGTTTTTTAACGACTTATACCCTGCAACCAGAGGAATAAAGTATACACTGAAGGCTCTGCTGAAGATTATCACCACAAAACGAGGGGCTGATTTAGTGATAGAAAGGTCACACGTTTTAAAAAGCCGATTCTGCAGGCAACTTTGTTTGAAATCTTCATAGCAGAGATAAAATATAACAGAACAGACAGCTAAACATATTACATAGGGCACCATGTACTTAAACAGTCAGATTATCTTTCAAAAAATTCATGTAAAAGGGATGGAAACAGGCTCTGTTACTGAAATAACATTCTTTGTCAATATTGTCATTCTTTCTGTTTAATTTTAGATTTGGAAGGCATCCGATCCAACACAATTAAGTATGCGTGTCAACTGGTTATGCGCCAGTGAGGCCATCGACTCCGATTTCAGCCTGCTTTTTCTTTTTGGATGTGTTTCTACAGCCTTTGTCCAACCAAGAACAATCTAGCAGCAGTTGTTTGATTTTGGAGTTATCTCTCCTAGAAGAGTGGCTGTCCCCAGCTAACGAGCCTCATCTGAGAGTCTACTTACAAAACCAAGTCAAAGAAATCGCAGACCAGCCTGCAGAGATTCTATCACATCGCCCAAATAATATGTACACAATTTAAACAAAAAATTAGTTCAGCGTATGGGCTGACTAAAATTCCAATCAAAGTAGGACCACGCCAAACACAAGCTGACACACCAGGAACAGCAAGTAATCTTCAGGCTAAAAACATCAAATAAGATGTCTAAGCAGATGCGGAAAAATAAAATAAAAAGCTGGCACTAAACTTGCCCTTTTGGATTGGCTGAAAAAATATCGAAGATGTTCAAAAAGACTGCACATTGCACTAACTGTCAAAACTTGGCGCCTACTATGTTGGAGCTCACTGTGCAGATAATCTGAGATGTCGACAGTGTTGTATCATCCTCTCCAAGGAATACAAATTCAATTTTAGCAAAAGTGTAATAAAGAAATTATTTTCTCCTGTATATTGATTAGAGTTTCTTCCAGGCATGTCTTCGGGGGGGGGGGGGGCGTTGCCCCCCCCCCAGAAAATTTTTACCGCCCCCCCCCGAACGAAATGAAATTTATATAATTTATATAGAAAATATATACTTTTAACAGTGTCCGCCCCCCCCCCCGAAGAAAGTCTACCCCTCCCCCGAAAATTTCAAGTGCCACCCCCCGGAGAAAAAAGTCTGGAAGAAACACTGATATTGATCAGTATGAAGCTATTCTTTTACAATTTCTCAAAAGATATATCAATATGGAAACAACAGCCCACCACACACAGTAACAGATTACAAATCATCATTGGTCATCAAGGCCGACGTACTTTCATCTCAGTAAAGTCTAGAGAATCGTGAGTCCCAGTCAACGAAATCCAAGTAACTCCCTCATGGAATACGTTTTTAAGTTGCCATTTCCCATTTAGATTTGATCTAGTACACCATTTAAACCAATAGCCGCCATGTCTATAGTAAGCACAGTTTTGAGGCCATATATCATTATCCCTGTCATGTGTGGAAAAAAACATATTAACGTGAAAAGTGAATTCGTCTTCCACGTTACCTTTCTTGAAGTTGAAAGAGATCTGATACTTAGCCGCTTCATCCTTTACCAACAAGTTCTCGTACTCGGCATAGTAGGATTTACCTTTATATCCCATGTCAATCCTCAATTCAGTGTAGCCCTATATAGAGATCATTTAATTAAGTTTTGTTTCGGAATTTTTAATAATGACGATTTAATGTATATGCTGTTAAAAATTGGTCTATGTTGTTTTATTGGGGAAACTCGTTATGACTTGTGTTCGTTTAAATTCAAATTAAAAAAAAATTGAATCAACTAAGAGCTTTTGAACTCGTTTTAAAATATTTATTACATCCATTCACCCACCCACCCACCCACCCTCCCACCCAATTTCACAATGCTACACAAAGTGCGGATGGTATGATCAAGTGGAACCGACAAAAAAAACCAAACATAAAAATTCCTTGATATATATAAATATATATATATATATATATATATATATATATATATATATATATATATATATATATATATATATATATATATATATATATATATATATATATAATTTAGCTAAAGAATTTTTTACCGAGTAGGTTAGCTGTGAGATAAAATCATTTCCCATCCAGAAGTCACCATCAAGTGAGCCAAATCCTACGCTATAGTTTGCCCAGTTTCTATTAAAATTCTCGATGCCATTGATCCGACGCTAAGATATTTTTTACAGCAAATTTATTTACAATTATATCAGTGCTTTATATTATACTCTTTAAAAGTTAGATTAGCATTTATAGTGGGTAGCAATTATGCCGTCATGTAGTTGTTACATCTCAGTATTGTGTGTATTATGGTTGCGTCACTTGAGTATTCAGCATGTTTAACTTGATGTGTATCAGTCGTGTTCGTGTACGGCAGTTAATGATAGATAGAGACAGAGGCAAGACGTGTTTGTTTAAGTAATGTAACAGCAATTACTCAAATAAAAATTTAATTTGAAAGTATTTTCGAATTTATTTAAAACCATATTAAACCTAAAGCTCTTATAACATATAATAACTGAAGTTACCGAGTTACAATTATGTAAAACAATAGGTTGTGCACACGTTATTCCAGATCTCCACATTATAAATTATAATTGGCAGAGTAGTAAAAAAAAACATTTTTGTGTGTATATAGCATACTGTCTGTGAAGTTTTGAGAATGCTTTTGAGAATATGAAGCTATAGAGTTTTCGATATTTACCTGCTAGTGAAATTTAAATTAAACCGGGAGTGAACTCGGGACATAGACAATATTTTAAATCCATTTTTAATTACTTAAACTTTTTAAAATAGAATAAAATCTCGTAGAAAAAAGAATTACACACCAATGAACGCCAAATAAAAGTGCATAATAGTGCGCAATATTATTAGTACTTTATAAATTCACATTTGTTTTTTTGAGAAATCGGAAATAGCGTAAATTTATCGTGTTAAAACACACACACACACACACAGACACACACACACACACCCACCCACCCACACACACACACACACACACACACACACACACACACACACACACAGAGAGAAAGAGAGAGAGAGAGAGAGAGAGAGAGAGAGAGAAACACACACAGACACACAGACATACGGTCTAGATTGCAAAATTATGTTTTTCCGTATCAGTGAGGTGTGAAACGTCGAGATTTTATAAAAATCTCGATTTTTTTTTCACGATTACAAGACTTTCTCTATAGCCTACTTCGTATATACGAGAAAGTAAAAAGTGACTTAGACATTACTACGTAATTTTTTGCATATATACAGTTTAACTAATATTATTTGAAAAATGGAAGATATTTTTTTGGCGAAATCGCAGTATACTATTGGCATAATTCATGAAATAACTTTAGATCAAACCTGGATAACGATCCATCCACCACCATCAGTCTTAGTGTCACACAGTACGCGTTTTCCGCCGAGTGATTCGAAAACTTCATACTTTTTGTAACATGCACCCATGGTATTTCTTTCACAGCCTGGTCTGCTCTTAAGGTTTGTTGTAATGAAATATATTACTTGTAAAAAATACAGCATCTTTTTATGTATTGTATTAGTCAGGTTACATTTTCATTAAATGTTTACATTTCAAGTAAGGGGTCATCCATAAATGACGTCACGCTTTTTT